CGGTTTACAATGCATTTATAAGGCTTGATGAATACCCTTAATGAAAATTTTTTCTTTACCGTTTTCTTGAGAGCTGCATACTGGCCTTATATAATACATTTTAGTATACAATTTTCCGCTCCATGTCAACACTGAAGTTAACGAGGTCATTTGCGCATCAAATTTGCCTCACTATTTTACGAGGGGCTCGTTAATAGAGCTCCATATAAATTTTGACAGTTCTTTTACGAGGCTCCCAACTTTACGAGGTTTTGTTTCGTCATTGCCGCGCACTCAAGCTAATGCCATGAACCAAAAATACAAAATCACGCCTTCTTTTTAGTAGCCCGTTATAATAGCATTTAGAAACAAAGTTGGGCGACTTTGACATTAGCCGTTTATTTACATTTGTTCGTTGTTTACAATTTGGTGGTGGCTTTTTACCGCAATTTTCTTAATTTTCGCTTGTGACAACGTGTGCACACATAAGGTAAAAATAATTTAACACAACGACATGATTTATTGAAGAATTTGCATAATAAAAATGATTATTCATGCGTTTAACAATTACGCGTTTTTTTTTTTTTTGTTCTCTTCGTTGTTTTTTCTTACAACAAAGATGGCGTCGAAATTTTGACAGCTAGAAAATAACTTTTTTCTTTCTTTCCTTAAGGCGTGACCTTGTGTCTTTCGTTCATGAGCTGATGCCACAGTATAACCTGATATACAGTTCAATGCGAGCGTGAGCGTGAGCTTTTTATTTTTACCAATATCTTAGTTATTACTCAACTTGTTGCCATAGTTGAGACATGAAAAGATAGAGAATTAAAATATTATAGTATAAAAACTAATTTAAAATGCATAATATGCCTTTTTACGAACTCACACTCAACTGTGTGCGTACGCAAAGCATTCACATGTGAACGGCAAGTTTTGACAGATGTGTGTGAACGTCCATAAGAATACAAATAGAATTCATTTGGGGTATTCACAACGGTGTCGTAAGTGTAGTATTGTTGTATGTCGTAAACTTTAAACGCCCAAAATATATAATAAGAAGGTTCGCAAAGTACCATCAAAGTCATATTGTGAATTTTCGCCGTGTTAAAAAATATTTGGTTGTGGTTTTAAGTTCTCTAAAAATTTATTTAAGCTTTTAAAGTTTACGACATACAACAATACGACACTTACGACACCGTTGTGAATCCCTCAATTGCCTTTGCGAACGTTCACGCTCGCGCTCGCGTTGAACTGTATATAAAGCTTAACCTTTTGCTTCGCATTACGTGACATATTCGCTTTTACAGATAAGATGAATTGTATGAAAATGCACAAAGCATGCTACATAAATCGTTGAAGCTGCAGCGCGAAGCGAAAAGATGGCCAACGCCCATTTTTGCGCGCGTTGACATTCAGCTAGTTCAATGAGCCTCATTGCGTAAGTCGTAAATTAGGCTGAATTGTACGACTCGACAACTAGCATTGTCTACTGTCGTGCTGAAATAAGTAAACGACGAAAATTGTCGAAAACTATGCAGTGCTGCCAAGTTTTTCCGTTTTAATACACTAGTCGAGTGAAATTTTAGGCAATGGCGCTAAATTTTCGATACGATTCGACTCTCGAAAAACGACTTGCATTCGGCACGACTCTCGCAATGAGGCTGAATATTTATTTTGTAGAAACATATTATGTAGAAACATAAAGNGAGACATGAAAAGATAGAGAATTAAAATATTATAGTATAAAAACTAATTTAAAATGCATAATATGCCTTTTTACGAACTCACACTCAACTGTGTGCGTACGCAAAGCATTCACATGTGAACGGCAAGTTTTGACAGATGTGTGTGAACGTCCATAAGAATACAAATAGAATTCATTTGGGGTATTCACAACGGTGTCGTAAGTGTAGTATTGTTGTATGTCGTAAACTTTAAACGCCCAAAATATATAATAAGAAGGTTCGCAAAGTACCATCAAAGTCATATTGTGAATTTTCGCCGTGTTAAAAAATATTTGGTTGTGGTTTTAAGTTCTCTAAAAATTTATTTAAGCTTTTAAAGTTTACGACATACAACAATACGACACTTACGACACCGTTGTGAATCCCTCAATTGCCTTTGCGAACGTTCACGCTCGCGCTCGCGTTGAACTGTATATAAAGCTTAACCTTTTGCTTCGCATTACGTGACATATTCGCTTTTACAGATAAGATGAATTGTATGAAAATGCACAAAGCATGCTACATAAATCGTTGAAGCTGCAGCGCGAAGCGAAAAGATGGCCAACGCCCATTTTTGCGCGCGTTGACATTCAGCTAGTTCAATGAGCCTCATTGCGTAAGTCGTAAATTAGGCTGAATTGTACGACTCGACAACTAGCATTGTCTACTGTCGTGCTGAAATAAGTAAACGACGAAAATTGTCGAAAACTATGCAGTGCTGCCAAGTTTTTCCGTTTTAATACACTAGTCGAGTGAAATTTTAGGCAATGGCGCTAAATTTTCGATACGATTCGACTCTCGAAAAACGACTTGCATTCGGCACGACTCTCGCAATGAGGCTGAATATTTATTTTGTAGAAACATATTATGTAGAAACATAAAGCTTAATTACATTGCTGATATTTTTAAAGCAAAATATATAAAATCCACAGCAATTTTTACGAGTAAAAAAGCAGTACAAAAATGCTTTCTTGGCATTCATTGTGGCATACATACCTTTTTCATCTGGCGCTTTGCTGGCAAAGTTATAAATGTCACGCAAAGCTAAAAAGTTTTATCTGGCAACAGCTTCAGTAGGTCATAATCAAGAATGATAGAATACGCTGCACCGTGGGTCATAATAATAACAATGACAATTGTCACCTTTAGAACGCTTAAAATAAATTTGCGGCATAGTACTAGGCAAGAATGATAGAATACAAGATTGCGCCAATGAGAGAGGATTTTTGAGCGTAATTTTTGTGTGACGTCATCTTGGTGCAATTGCGAGAGATAAATACCAAAACGCATATAAAAATATGTAAACAATGCAGAAAAATGTGTTAATTTTAATATTAAATGGCCCAATTTTGCAAGAATCAATAAATATTCAAAGACTGATTAATTAGGAACACGTAGCAATAACTTTGGACATGTAGCCCTTTAGGTAAGTACGATTTTTAGCACATGAAAAAATGGATGTATTAACAGTGTTTGCAATTTCATGTAGACCAAAAGGAAGGTGTGCAGCAAAGTGGATTTTCGGACTCGCCATTGTAAAAAGCCATGCAGAGTGCATATTTATATTTGTGGACGGTAGCCAACCATCATAAACTCCACAGCTGTTGACTCCACAGCTTTTATTTGATGACTTTTGTACCATTTCCGAGAGGATGCATGAGTGCGGGTTCTTTGAAAGCAAATATTCTATGTTAACATAATTTATAGCTGAACTTTTAAATGCATAATAATTTGACCACTGTTTTGTATTAGGTAGGCGCGGTAAGATGCCGCTTGAATTAGAGCCTGGCAACCTTATCCACTGGTGCATTGCCTCATACCAGCACTAAAAATATTATTTTCAATGGCTGCGTTTCTTTATACATTCCGGATAATCCCATTTCACAGCCGGAATAAACAGAATGCGTTTGAAATATACGTCAACATATCATCAGGAACGTTCTAAAGAATAAATAAACAAAAAAGTTTATTCCAAACGTTCAGAATGAATAAAGAAATGCAGCCAATATCTTCACTAGTGAAGTGCTTCATGCACACATAGCTCGATTTGGTGTTTAATGCATCTCCTCGCCGGCAGAACTGCTTCCATTTCTCCGCCAGATTTGGGTCCGTAGGAAAGGAAAAAAAACTTATATCGCACGCTTTCATTTTGTTTTCACTATTACACTTTGCCACGGCACATTTCATTTTACTTTGTAATGTCTCAATAATTGTTTAAAACCGCGCAGAAATATTAACGCACATATATTAAAATGGTTATTTGGTTTTTTCGTATGCTCACAATCAACAATTGCACCAAGATGACGTCACGCACACAGGTGATTCTGTCAAAATCACAAAGAGCGGATTAGCGCAATCTCTATTTCTCTCAATCGTGAGTATTAGGTGCAGTAGTAAAGACAATGGTCACCCGTTAAGTTTTGTCATTGACGTAGGAATTTTATTAATTTATATTTAGTTTTTTTACTTTTAGTTATTTCGCTCACTATTTATCAGTGCCAGTTTAAACTTAGATTAAGAGAACTGAGTTTAAATTGAACAGTTGGCTGACATTTGATTGGCTGATCTTAGTTTAAACCACGGCCGTGCACTGAAAAACTGGCACTGAGTATTGAACTTTAATTGTGAGAAAATGTTTAACTACGGTGAAAAATTTTTACATTTCTGCTGCGCCAATTGGTTTGATGCAGAACACTAGCCAGTTAAGCAAATAAAATGCAGCAATTTATTCATTGTAGAAAAAAATTTACTATCCAATTGCCACAGGCCTATATAAATATTTTTTCTGGAAGAGCAAATCAATTTCTCTATGATTCTTTGGAGAGACGTCGAAGTCGTGGGAAATCTGGTACACAACGTCTTGATTGTGGAAACCNGAGAAAATGTTTAACTACGGTGAAAAATTTTTACATTTCTGCTGCGCCAAACACTAGCCAGTTAAGCAATTAAAATGCAGCAATTTAATAGAAAATATAAGCCTTTGGTTTATTCACTTCATTGTAGAAAAAAATTTACTATCCAATTGCCACAGGCCTATGTAAATATTTTTTCTGGAAGAGCAAATCAATTTCTCTATGATTTTTTGGAGAGACGTCGCAGTCGTGGGAAATCTGGTACAAAATGTCTTGATTGTGGAAACACCCATTAAGATTGAAATAAATTGCTATTAAATAGCAATGGCAACTCTATACAAGACGGCAAACAACAAAGCAAAACAGAAAAGTCAACCAAAATACAGAAATACAAATAAAGGAAGACTGAAAAAAATACAAAAAACATATGCGGCAATGAAGGAACGAGTTGATGAACCGAGCGAGTACCATCGCACGACGGAAAACGGCGATCTGTCGTATAATCACCGCAGCGAATTCCAGTTGACGGTGGAAAATTAAAAAGGTTTTTACACAAAGTACCACAATAAATGCTTCAAGAAGTGCATGTTTCTGTACTTCTAGTTTCGCAACAGTATAAAAAAATATTTGCTAACGAGGAAAAGCGATAACTTGCAGCATAAAGTGAACTTTGTGTTATTTCTCTATATGGGAAAGTGGTTGGGTTGGACGGTATCAAATAATTAAAGACCACTGCTAAAAGTAAAATTTTACACAAAGAACTTGATTTAAGGCTAATCGAAGAAGTGGAGATCATATCTTCTCTTTTTTTTAAACAACATACGATAAGAAACGCAATAAGATGTGGATTCATCCGAAAGAAATGCTAATGCCACCAGCTTTTTGGTAAGTTTGAGATGTAAATATCTTTTCGGTTCGTGAGGAGCATCAGTATTGTGATTTGCCTACAGATATGTAGTTAGAAAAACTACAAGTAGCTTGCAATACGAAAAAAAGACCCATCGAGTTTTCTGTATAGCTATTTCAGTAGAGTTTATTTTACGCAGCACCGAAATAGAGTAGCAGTCTGCTCTAGCGGTGAATGCAATTACAAAGGCATTCTAGTGAGCCAACAATGGCTTTAATGTACCTCTTGCTGATACAATAGTATATACATATGAATGTATGTACATATCTCCATACATGTATGTACATACATATACATATGTATTTAAAATGCACTATTTCCCATATTGGCGTTTTATTGTTAAACACATTTGCTGTTATCAGGAAACCAATGAACTCTGGCAAATCACAGATGTTTCGACATTGCCATTTTTTCTATTAAGTACCTATACATGTATTGTGATAACCTTCGTCTCACTAATAGTTATTGTACATTATGTACATACATACATATCTGCGTTCGTATGGAACAGTAGCTTATGTCGAATGGTAGGCTTTAGTATAATGCGGCATTCTCAGCATACAATTGCGAATGACTCACTGGCGCCGAGCCGTTGAAAAACTTTTGGAAAATAAACGTATAGAAATAGTTCCGATTCTAGCAAGTCAATATTCTTATTAAGTCTCATCAAAAATTTCCTTGTCGTTTAAAGAATAAAGGGAATGCCGCATTATACTAAAGCCAGCTTCCCGACATATGCTACTATTCCATACGAAAGATATATACATATTTATTTACTTGAGAATTAATTAACCTTTTTTTTTAGGATTGACGAAATGCGTTCAAAATATTTCGTGCTGCAAAAACGTCGTGGCCACGGAGAAACACGTAGCTTTACTTCACTCCTTGTGAATACTTTGGATAGTGTATGGGACACAAAGCCACCACCGTATCGAATCCTACACCAGACACCCAATTCCGAAGTTTATTACGGTAAGTTAACAGCTGATTTGAAAGTATAAAAAAATAAATTTTAAATATTGTTAAATGTATGCATGAAAAGACAAATTCAGACATATTTATGTAGTCCGTTCGATAAGCTTACTAATATTTGGTGGCTTACAAATTTGGTAAAATACATTTAAAAAAGGCAAAAATTAAGAAAACATAAATTAATGGATCAGACATTTTTATAAAAAACAAAAAATGCACTTTCTCAGTAAAGTTCATCATACACTGTTAACTAACATTTTGAAATTCCTGCATATACTACTTTATGCCCAATTTCCACTAGGACTTTAAAATGCAGGAGATTTTGGGTACACCTCTTTAAAATATCATGTGGTAACGATATAATAAATTTAGTTAAATACATATGTGTACCCATAGCCAAAAATAACAGAAACGCCTTATTTTGACCAGTTTTGGCTATATATATTTTGTTTATTTAATATTTTGTTTTTATAAAAGTGCAGCTCATTATCTAATAAAAATCATATAAATTTATATTTCAAAACCCAAAAATTATAAACATTTATATAAAGTTGCAGCTAAAATTTAAACTTTTTAATCAGATTTTGTAGAATCTTTTTGAGTATGCAGTTTGGGCACCCTTTTGTATCACTTGTATGTCCCTTCACAAACGAGGGAGGCTATTCCATAAAAATAAGAACTAATTTCCTGAAATGTTATTTGACTACGTTCACAATGTACATAAATGGTGTTTTTGTACCGAATGTATTTTCAAACTAAGAAGTAATTTTTAAGCAAAAAACAAAACCGACTTATTCTTATAAAAACTTAAGATCATCGTTAATTTCTCCATGATGCAATGATCGGATATAAACCAAATTAATATAGAACCACCTGTGAGGCAACATCTTTCCTTTAAGAAAAGAATTATAGCGGTTAACGTTGTCCAAAGTTATGCGGTAACATATATACAAAAAAAAAAAAATCCGACGAATTGAAAACCTTCTCCCTTTTGTGAAGTCGGTTAAAAAAAGTACAATTGTACCAACTTTTCCATCACAGTAGCTAACTAATCGAGCAGCTGTGAGTGCATGTGAAAACCAAAAAACGGTAGCTCAATTAAAGAGTTAATTGACTCAATTGAATTTCTGTATGAACTTAATCTAAGGCGTTTCTATTATTTTGGCTATGGATGCACTTGTATTAATTTATCTGTTTCTCAAAACTGCCACCAGAAGACGCAACAGCGAATATTTTCACATATTTTTACGTGTTAAAATAAAATAAAAACGTATGTCTTACTTTTCCTTATGAACACATTTTTTTTCTTACAACACAAATTGGTATAATAATGTGCAACATTTAACAGTGCCGAAATTCGCGTTGTGACGGTGCTAAGCATTTTCCTTCATATAAAATATATATATATTTTTTTGTATGATGAAAATGTATAATGCCGTCTGAAAAAAATTGTCAAAAATCAGCGCGAATTTCAAGACATTAAAAATTTTAACATTTTTAAAAGTTGAATGGTTTATAAAACTGTCTACTCGAATTTTTTTAATTATTAAAAAGTTTGCAATTTTCGCTGAAATTTTGTAGAATTCTCCTAAATTTCGTACAAAGTTTGAAATTCAGATTTATATGGTGTTTGTTAAAATACAAGCCATATTTTAATAACAAGTAATTTTTAGCAAAAACAAACCCACTTCAACTCCCATATAAAAAATATATATATATATATATCTCATGATCCACTGATCGGATCTCAACCAGATTAGTATGGGACAACCTCTGAGAATTATCGAAATCGGTTGACGTGGTCCAAAGTTATGCGGTAACATACATAAAAAAAAATATAAAAATATTAGGACGAACTGATAACCTCCTCCTTTTTTGGAAGTCGGTTAAAAAATAAATAAACAATTTTTAACATGTAAACAATTGTAAGTATTAAAAAAAAATCACAGTACACTCAATGGAATTGTGAGTGAAGGTAGTTATTTTTATAAAAATTTGAATTAAAATGGAGATGTGTAAGAAATGTTTGTATAAAGACAAAACATGATAAATAGGCAACAATCGTCAATGGCAACAAATTGGCAACTCCCCGATTTATTGCCGTAGTGAGAAATCGGCAACATTATTACTATCATGTCATTTTAAGAATATGTTTTCAAAAATTCCCAAACTGATGAACTTCGCGTCAACAGGATTCTTCAAAAATATATAATTTATGCCCAAGACAGGGTTGAAAAAATAGGAAGCTCCATAGCGACGAACATAGTTAATTTCGTTTACAAATTATAAGATTGTGTTCAAAAACAAATGAAATATTAAGAAAGAGAAAATTTTTGCAAGAAGTTCTTATTCACATATCGCCTGTAGCAAGAATAAAACGACTCATTCAGGTAATAAGAAAACGACTCGCCTAGGCGAGTTGCCTGCGGCGGACGTTTTAGAGCGACTGGTAATAAGAAATCGATTCGATGGCGATATTGCCGGCAATAAATTTGTTGCTGAGGGCGACAAGTTTACTTATTCGCGGCAACAAAAATTGTTTGGTGGGATAGGATTTTTTTTAATTCAAAAAATTTTCATCCAAATTTCAAACTTTTTTCTCAGAAGTGTTAAAATTTTTTTGAGTACGCAGTTTTATAGCCCATTCAATTTTAGTACGATAATATGCAAGTTTCAAGTGGCTAAAAGTTACCGTTGATTTTTTAGAATTTGTTTTGTCGCATTTGCTTCCATATAACGAATAAACACAATTTATTTTTATGTGAAAAAAACACAACACCCTCGGCGAAAAAAATCTAAAAAATTAACGGTAACTTTTCTCAACTTGTTAGACCAAAATTTAATGGGCTATAAAACTATGTACTCAAAAAAGTCTTACTTCTAACTTAGAAATTTGGGTGAAAGTTTGTTTCGTGTTTTTTGTAGTTTTCTACAAAGTTTTAAACTTGGGTTCATATAGGTTTTTGACAGAGAATGAACTGTATTTTAATTGAAAATTCCTAAAAATTAAAAATAAACATGTGTGGCAAACAATATCTCTTTGAAATGGGGGTGCTATTGTATTGGCCAATACTGTATGTATGATATAAATGCTTTTTCTTAACTTTCAGACCTTTCACTCGACTTTTTCAAATAAATTTCAGTGAAAGGTATGAAATGTTAAGAAAAAGCAATTGCTTAGTTTTCATGCCTACGGCACAATGTGAATTTCCAGTAAATTTGCACATATTGAATCGTTTTATCTACCGAGTTTTAGAAAGGAAGCCGTTTCATATCCAAAAAAGTTTATAAATATTTAGTTAGATTATCTATGAAAAATTAAAAAGATGTTCGCTTCAGAATATTTCGAAATAAATATCGTCGCTTTGCAAAAAAAATATTTTCCTAATATTTTTTTGGCGGTACAATAATAAGTAGACATCGGAATTCTTTGAAATTGCATATTTTTGTTTAGCATCCAAGAGATCCTGGACCAAAACAGAAATTCGTTGCATTTAAAATGAAGAAGATGTATGCCCTAAGAAGCGTGCAGCCGCAATGGGGTCGGTCCACAGAGACAAAGGCGTTAGCAGTGTCGAGTTTTCCAGGCATACGAAGATATGTTTCGAGTCGTGGGGTGTCTCTCCGCATGTCGAACACTCATTTGGCACATCGCGTCTAATCTGCTCAGGTATGAGTTTAACATGCTGCAGTAGCTGGAGCGAAGTTGGGTTCTAGTCTCCCGTGGCAGATGAAGCTCCGTCTCGTCGATGTCACTCACAGGTCTGGAGTCTACAAAACTCCAGACTGACTCCCTGTGAATGCCGCTCAAGGCCTGTCGATAAGCTGACAGGTCGTCCGGACTTCGTCCGTCAGTTCGTATAGATGCCTTTTGACATGCCTTGGCGAGGGCTCCGCTGCACGCAAGTGTCTGTTCGTGTCCACATCTGTGGCTCCCTACTAAGAATTGCTTGCAGAGCACTGTGTTATGCTCCTTTATGGGGAGCATTTCCGCCTCATTATGAAGGTGGTGTCCTGGCGACACAAGAAGACATCCAGTCGCTGTCCGAAGTGCAGTGTTTTGCGTCGTCTGCAGCTTCATCCACTGCGTCCTACTAGTCCCCGACGAGCACACTGGTGCTGCGTGATTTAAAACCGGCCGGCCTATTGCCTTGTACGTTGCCAGTAATGTTTCTTTCTATTTGCCCCAAGTACTTCCGGCTAGCGACTTGAGGACCTTGTTACGGCTCTGTACTTTATTGACAATAGCGGTTGTGTGCGCAGAGAAGGAGAGCAGACTGTCGAATGTTACTCCGAGTATTTTGGTGTTATTCACCGTCGGAATTAGTGTATCATCGACGTGAATTCCTAGCGGTAGTCTGACCTTCTTCGCCCAGATGGTGAACAAGGTCGCAGAGGATTTTGTAGGGGAGAGGGTTAGGCTCCTAGCAGTGAAGAACCGAGAAAGCTCGGAGAGATATCTGTTAACTTTTGAACACAAGTCATCAATTCCATACCCAGACGCCATTATCGAACCATCGTCAGCATAGGAGACAATCGAGACTCCCTCTGGTGGTAGAGGGAGCTTTGAAATATAATAATTAAGCAGTAGTGGGGAAAGGACACCACCCTGTGGAACCCCCTATATTATTTTCCTAGGTTTGCTCGATTTGTCTCTTAAACATTACTGACTAATTCGCCGACCACCGTTTGAGCCTCTGTGGGAGAAAGGAAGCATCTATGTCTTCTAGCAGCGTGGAGTGGCTGACGGTATCAAACGTCTTTGACAGTTCCAACGCTACTATAATAGTTCTCTCACAGGGACTATTGCAGTTTACGCCACGTGTTATCTGCGTGTTTATGGCGTTAAGTGCTGTTGTTGTGCTGTGTACTTTACGGAAACCATGCTGATGCTTCACTGGGATCAAGTGGTTCGTGAAATACGGGAGTAGCAAGGCCTCTAGTGTCTTGCCAGATTGAGGACCTCCATTAGGTACGCTACTTCCGCAGGACCCAAATTT